TTGTGTGTGGAAGCCCCAGAGAAAAGATGCTTCTACTTACAGTGAAAGCTCTTAAGCACTTTATATTTTTATATAAAGTCTGGAAACTCTGGACAGCGTTTCAGATATATAATAAAAAAATCATCTCCAGCCCCATAAAAAGTATAAACAATGGTAAAACGAAAAAGAAAACCGTTTTATTAAACAATTACACCAGAATGTAATATGCATCACAATCAACTAAAATATTGCAAATATTTTTTTTTAATTACCATAATTAGTCTTAAAGTAGAAGACTTGACAGCAGTGTTTCTCATATTTATTACATCCTAAATTCACATGGCAATTTAGAGGCTATCTGTGTTTTGGCTATATTCTAGGAAAATTTGAGTTGGCTATATTCACAGGAAAAATATACTTCTCTTGTCTTCATTACAAGATTTAGATTTGCAACTTTAAGCCAGGTCCCTGCTGAAGGTAGTCTCCTATTTTTCTATAAAAACTGCTGCATAGCAGTCTATCTTCCAGGCTTTTTAAATTTCAAAGCAATAGTTCCTAGGTCATGAGAAAGATATTACTGAGTCAAAAAGCATGGCAAAAGTTCTATTTATAGGCCGGGCGCGGTGGCTCACGCCCTGTAACCAAGCACCTCGCTGGACCGAGTGCGCGTGAGTCAAGGGCAGAGTTCAAACCAGCCTGAGCAAGAGACGACCCCACTCTACGTATAAAATGAGAAAGGAAATTAATTCCAACTAATAATATAGTAATAGAAAATCACGGATTGCATGGTGGCGAGATGCCTGGTAGTTCCAGCTACTCGGGAGGCGTGGCAGGCAGAGATCCCTTGTGGAGCCCAGGGAGTTTGAGGTTGCTGTGAGCTAGGGCTGAGCGGGCCACGACTCACTCTAAGCTAGAACAAAGCGAGACTCTGGTCTCAAAAAAAAAAAAAAAAAAGTTCTATTTATAGCACTCTGGGAGGCCAAAGTGGGAGGATCGCTCAAGCTCAGGAGTTCGAAAACCAGCCTGAGCTAGATCGGAGACCCCGTCGTCTACTACCAAAAAAAATAAAAGGGAGAGAAAAGAAAAAAAAAAAATGGCCACAAAAATATACAGAAAATAGCCAGTCATCGTGGCACATGCCTGTAGTCCCAGCTACTCCAGAGGATAAGGCAGGAGAATTGCTGGAGCTAGGCTGAAGCCCAGACAACAGAGGGAGACTCTGTCTCAAACAAACAAACAAACAAAAAAAATCCAAAAAGAATCAAGAGTGTGGTCACCCATAGGTAGTCACACCATAATTGCCAAATGCTTATTTATACTCACCTGAATGGTGAGTTCATATGGGAGTATATTATTTTTCAAACTCATCATAAAACAAACAACTTGGCCCGGCGCGGTGGCTCACGCCTATAATCCTGCTCTCTGGGGGCCGAGGCGGGCAGATGTCGTGAGGTCAAGTCGAAACCAGCCTGAGCAAGAGCGAGATCCCCGTCTCTACTATAAATAGAAGAGAAATTAATTGGCAACTAGATATATACAAAATAGCTGCTGCATGGTGGGAATGCTGTAGTCCAGCAGCGGTGGGAGGCTGAGGCAGGAGGGATCCCTTGGAGCCAGGGAGTGTTGGATGGTTGCTGGTGAGGCTAGGCTGACACCACGCACTCACGTCTGGCAACAAAGCGAGACTCTGTCTCAAAAAACAAACAAACAAAAAAAAAACAAACAACTTAAAAACAAAACAAAAAACAAAACGATGTTTGCTTGTTCAGACCATGTCACTGAGCACTCTCATATTTTCAGCCAAGACAATAAAGCGCTTAAACTCCAACCATGGAATAAAATCCTTAAATACTTGGAAAACAGATAAAGAGATTTTATAACGTGCTCCTCCCATGGCTGGCAGGAGCATGCTTGGAAACCTGCAGTGGAGGCTCCTCAGGAAGAACTCACTGGGCCTTCATGGACCTCCTGTGACAGGGTCAAGACTGGCCTTGAAATGGAGTCACTGAGCTCGGACCTCAACTTTTTGGTCAGTATTTTTTTCATAAGTTTATATAAGAAAATGCACAGGGTTCAATCCCCGTATGGGCCAGGAGCTAGCATTGGGCTGGGCCGGGTGGCTCAGGCCTGTAATCCTAGCACTCTGGGAGGCTGAGGCGGGTGGATTGCTCAAGGTCAGGAGTTCAAATCAGCCTGAGATGCAAAAGCAGACCCTGTCAATGATATAAAGAAATAATAATGGCCAACTAAACATATATATATATATACATTGAGCAGGGCATGGTGTGCATGCTGTAGCCAGGTACTCGGAGGCTGAGGCAGGGAGGATCGCTGTGCCCAGAGTTTGAGGTTGCTGTGATCTAAGCTGACGTCATGGCACTCTAACCCTGGGCAACAAAAGTGAGACTCTGTCTCAAAAAAAAAAAAAAAAAAGAAAAAAAGAAAAGAAAACGCACAGTATTTAAAAAAGCTAGCAAAAATCATTCAAACTCAGTGTTTACAGAATAAAACGAAATTCTAAGAGGGAAAAATTTAAACCGTAAGTGTTTTTTCTTTATTCTCATAGTACAACAATCAGCACCAAAGATTTGCGGACTTCTCCCTATTAACAAGCCAGCACTTGCTTTTGCAGGAGACACCAGCTGGGTGTCCTCAAACCTAGCTCAATTCCAACACTATCTACCTGGTGATGGGGGCATGGGGAACAGAGCATTCATGTCCCTGCCAGACTCACTTCCTTCCAGGATCCTCCATGTGTTGAGCTACCTGGAAGCTCCCCAACCCCCATCCTTCTGGGTTTCTATGGGAGCTTCATTTCAATCACATAATTAATTAAACCATAGGTCATTAGTAATCAACTTCACCGTAAACTCCTCTGTCCTCCCCAGATTTTGAGGGTGAAATAGAAAATTCCATTTCTTTGGGGTTGTGGCTGGTTCCCTTGGCAACCAGCCTCCCATCCAGTGGTTTCTAAGGGCTTTAAAAAAATTCTGGGCCAGACGGCTCATGCCTGTAATCCTAGCTCTCTGGGAGGCCCAGGCAGGCAGATTGTTTGAGCTCAGGAGTTCAAGACCAACCTGAGCAAGAGCGAGACCCCATCTCTACTATAAATAAAAAGAAATTAATTGGCCAACTAATATATACAGAAAAAATTAGCCAGGCATGGTGGTGCATGCCTATAGTCCCAGTTACTCAGGAGGCTGAGGCAGGAGGATTTCTTGAGCCTAGGAGTTTGAGGTTGCTGTGAGCTAGGCTGACGCCATGGCACTCACTCTAGCCTGGGGAACAAAGCGAGACTCTTGTCTCAAAACAAACAAACAAACAAACAAACAAACAAATTTCCATAAAAAAATTCAAACAGTGCCCCAGCCTCCCAAGTATAGCTAGGACTGTAGGCATGTGCCACTATGTCTGGCTATTTTTTCTATATGTTTTTAGTTGTCCAGATAATTTCTTTTTATTTTTAGTAGAGACAGGGTCTCACTGTTGCTCAGGGAGGTCTTAAACTCCTGACCTTGGGCAATCCTCAGGCCTTGGCCTCTCAGAGTGCTATTATTACAATAGTGAGCACCACGCACCGCCTAAACTCAATGGTTTCAAATAACTAGTTGTAAATAACAAAAGCATATCTTTCACTTGTACAGGTCACCAGTGACCTCAGATAGCAATGACAAAAGTCCAAATAATCTAACAAAGGATATTCTTATTGCTATAGTCACTCAGGAAATGATGAGGCTTACAGGAACTGAGAACCAGGAATAATCATAGGAAAAACCCAAAATGTATCTATCATAATGTCACAGAAACTGTAAAGTACTAAAATATACCTCAAGCAGGTGCAGTGGCTCACGCCTGTAATCACAGCACTCTGGGAAGCCAAGGTGGGAGAACTATTTGAGCTCCAGCCTGAGCAAGAGTGAGACCCCGTCTCTCCTAAAAACAGAAAAAATTAGCCCGGCATGGTAGCCCATGCCTATAGTCCTACCTACTGGGAGGCTGAGGCAGGAGGATTGCTTGAGCCCAGGAGTTTGAGGTTGCTGTGAGCTAGCCTGCCGCCATGACGCTCTAGCCCAGGCAACAGAGTGAGACTCTGTCTCAAAAAAAAAAAGTCAAATACTGCATCATGTGAATTGGTAAGTGGAAGTTGACATTTGGGAATGTGGGGGAAAAGTCCTAGAAATTTAGGATTTTACTGTAAGCCATAGGAGAATTATGCTGGAGGAACAGCTCATGGATTTGAGATTCAGCTTGCTATACATTTGAAAATGAAAAATGCAGAAAGAAACAAGTCCTTATGTGGAGTCCTACAATAACTAAATGGTTGGCAATTAGACCAAACTGACTCTTGTGCCCTGACTCCCTACCTAAGCGTACTGAAATCTAACTCAAATGCTTTTTTTGGCTAAATTACTCACTAAGAAACATAATTTATGCTTAACCAATTATAAATTACCAATCAACCACGGATTACATAAACAGAAGATAGTCACAGTCATACTCCAAAAAAGGCTTCTACAAACGTATAAACTAATGCACTACTGAATTTGTTTTGCTTTCTCATGCACCTCATGAAGGTCTTTTTTTCAAGCCTCTCCTGGGACCCCCTACACAAACCATGGCTAGGGGCTCTCTGAGCCAACCGTTGTTTGCTCTAGTAAAGACTTTAATGTTTTAACAGTGCCTTACTTTAATTTTTAGCAGGAGAAAGCACGGACTGAGGACCCCACGGACCCGCCACTGGGTCTGGATTCTCCCCGAAGATCCCCCGTGGCTACCGCACAAACCGGGCGAGACGCGGGGCTGCAGGCACAGACGGACCTGCCCAGAGACGGCTTCGGGCAGTGCGGAGTCCTGTGAGGACCAGACCGGACCCCCGCGGTCCCGGCGGCCGTCCTTCCCCCGCCCTGTGGCCGCAGGGGAACCAGGGCCGAGCCGCACCGGCGGGGACTCCGGAGCCGACGCGGGGAGGCCCGGGAACCGCCACAGCCACTTCCAGCCTTTGCAAACCCCGCCACACTCACCGTTTCCTGGCGTCCAAGCTGTCCCGGCATCCTCCTTCAGATCTTGCGGGACCCGCAGGTCGCCCTGTGACGCCGGCCGCACCAGACACACCTGGATCTCCCACCCTGAGGAACAAGCAAGCAGAGGCAAACGGGACTGCAGGGCTGTCGCTAGAAGCAAAGTTCCGGTTAGATTTGTAGGAGCCGCCCCTTCCTCTTCTGCTGCGAGCCTGATTGGACAGTTCCTACCCAAGCGCCCCTTACTGGACAGAACAATAGGTCCCGCCCCTTAATTCCTGAGTGACTACTCCTGGATCCCACATAATCAAAGCCACGCCCAGAGTTTCCTCTGTCTACAGGGACCTAGGAGTGCCTGGAGTATATTCACAGTTAGCCTTATAGGTACAATGTTATATGTTTGTGAATAATATATTTTATATTAAAAGCTAGAAACTATAACGATAAAATATTTTAAAATTTCAGATTTTCAGTCAGGCATGTAAGAGGCTAACAATTTGGGAGACCAAGAAAAGAGATTGAGACCAGCTGGAGCAACATGGAAAGACCCCATTTCTTTTCTTTTTTTTTTTTTGAGACAGAGTCTCACTTTGGTGCCCAGGCTAGAGTGCCGTGGCGTCAGCCTGGCTCACAGCAACCTCAATCTCCGGGGCTCAGCGATCCTACTGCCTCAGCCTCCCGAGTAGCTGGGACTACAGGCATGCGCCACCATGCCCGGCTAATTTTTTTGTATATAAATTTTAGTTGTCAATTAATTTATTTCCTATTTATAGTAGAGACGGGGTCCGCTCAGGCTGGTTTCGAACTCCTGACCTTGAGCAATCCGCCCGTCTCGGCCTCCCAAAGTGCTAGGATTACAGGCGTGAGCCACCACTCCCGGCCCCATTTCTTTTTAATTTTATTTTTTATTTGAGTCAGAGTCTGAGTCTCGCTTTGTTGCCCAGGCTAGAGTGAGTGCGGTGGCATCAGCCTAGCTCACAGCAACCTCAATCTCCTGGGCTCAAGCGATCCTCCTGCCTCAGCCTCCGGAGTGGCTGGACTACAGGATGGCCACCATGCCCGCTAATTTTGTATATATATTTTAGTTGTTCAATTAATTTCTTTCTATTTTTAGTAGAGACGGGGTCTGGCTCAGGCTGATTTCGAACTCCTGACCTCGAGCAATCCGCCCACTTCGGCCTCCCAGAGTGAGAGACCCCAATTCTACCAAAAAAAAAAAAGAAATAGCCAGTGTGGTGGCCAATGTCTGTAGTCTCAGGTACTCAGGAGGCTGAGAAAGGAGAAATGCTTCAGCCTAAAGGTTAGAGGTTGCTGTGAGCTATTATCAGGCCACTGAACTCCAGTCTGGGAAAAAAAAGCGAGACCCTGTCTCTTAAATAAATAAGATTTGGTAACTTTCATGGCATCTGGTTGAAGAGGAAGCCTGAGTTTTGAATGGGGAGGCAATGCTCTCAGGCAGCAATGCCTTAGAAGAACGAAATTAGGAGCCAAGTGGATCATTTTAAATATTCTAGTAGCAACATAACAGAAAAGAAACAGGGGCTGGGTTCAGTGGCTCATGCCTGTAATCCTAGAAACTTGTTAGGCCGAGGTGGGAGGATTACTTGAGGTCAGGAGTTCCAGACCAGCCTAAGCCTAAGACAAAGACCCAGACTTTACTAAAAATAGAAAAAATTAGCCAGCTGTGATGGCCCCCACTGTGTCCCTGCCTCCTCCCAGAAGGCTGAAGCAGAAGGATCCCTTGAACACAGGAGATTGAGGTTGCTGTGAGCTAGGCTGATGCCACGGCACTCACTCTAGCCTTGGCAACAAAGTGAGACTCTGTCCTCAAAAAAAAAAAAAAAAAAAGAAAGAAAGAAAGAACTGCATTTTCTCATGAGCTCTTCATTACATTAAAAACTAACCTATCAGGAAAGGAAGGATAAAAGCTTGATTACTTTTTCTCCAATCCAATTTCATGGCAATGATGATGTGTCACCATCAAAGAAAACATAAATAATATTTTTCCTAACATTTTTTGTGTATTTGGTAGTATTCCATGCACTCCAGTCTATATCTAATTTTGAGTTCAAATTGTACCATCTTAGGTCAGTGAGCGACACTTCTCATTATCTCCTTTCCTTGTGCCATGAGACCATATGTTTTGAGAGCTTTTATGTTTTCTGGAACAAACACACATGCATGATACCCTTTGTCTGTTATATAATTTACAAATTAATGAAACATTTGGCCTGTTCCTTTTTACTTCACTTAAGGTCTTTCCTACCATGCACAATATCCTGGTTTTACATTGTATACTTTATCGATCTTTTCTTTTATTAGTACTTTTTTATTACCCCAAGATAGAGTCTCACTCTGTTGCCCTGGGTAGAGTACTGTGGCATCAGCCTAGCTCACAGCAACCTCAAACTCCTGGGCTCAAGTGATCCTCCTGTGTTAGCCTCCCAAGTTGCTGGGACTACAGGCTTGTTCCACTATGCCTGGCTAACATTTTTTTCTATTTTTAGTTCTCTGGCTAATTTCTTTCTATTTTTTAGTAGAAACCAGGTCTAGCTCTTGCTGAAGCTGGTCTTGAACTCCTGACCTCAAGAGATCCTCTCCCCTGGGCCTCCCAGAGTGCTAGGATTACAAGTATTAGCCACCTTGCTTGGTATTAATTTCTTGATTTCAGTCACAGATCAGATTAACTCTCACAGATTTTAGAAATATTTCCTAATGTTTTTTTCTATTGGTTTGTTTTCCATATTTTACCATTTATATTTCTTCTTTGTCCTTTACCTGTAGTACATTAAGAGTACATCCATTTTCATCTTTCTTATGGGTACATCCAGTTCTTAAACACTAAGTATTGATAAAAATTTCTTTGTAATTTGTGTGTAACTTATTGTATGCACTTTGGTGGATTTCACAATTTTCTACTGTCCCAGTCTTCTTGCCTATTTTTGCATCGACACCACACTGCTTTAATTATAGAATGTTTTAATGTCTTTTAATGTTAGATAAGATGATAAATCCTCATTGTGTTTCTTTCCTAGGAATTTTGGCTATTTCTATATGTTTGTTTTTCCATATACCCTTTGAAAAATTATTGCTAACTTCAAGGAAACTGACAGAATTTATCATAAAATCAACAACATTGAATTTAACTTAAAGATAAATGACTTCTTTATATTATTCAATTTTTCTATCCAAGAACAAGATGTAACTTTCCATTGGTTTAACTCTTAAAACATATATTTCAGGAAAGCTTTATTATTTTGTTCATATAAACTTTGTACATTTTTTATTTATTTATTTATTTTTATTTTTTTATTTATTTTTATTTTTTTTTATTTTTTTTTCTTTTTGACAAAATACCCTCAGATTCTATTTTTTATTTTTTTATTTATTTTTTATTTTTTATTTTTTTTTTAAAGTTTTGGTTTTTTTTTTTTTTTTGAGACAGAGTCTCACTTTGTTGCCTAGGCTAGAGTGAGTGCTGTGGCGTCAGCCTTGCTCACAGCAACCTCAATCTCCTGAGCTCAAGCAATCCTCCTGCCTCAGCCTCCCAAGTAGCTGGGACTACAGGCATGCACCACCATGCCCGGCTAATTTTTTCTATATATATTAGTTGCCCAATTAATTTCTTTCTATTTATAGTAGAGACGGGGTCTCGCTCTTGCTCAGGCTGGTCTCGAACTCCTGACCTCGAGCAATCCGCCCGCCTCGGCCTCCCAGAGTGCTGGGATTACAGGCGTGAGCCACCGCGCCCGGCCATGTACATTTTTTATTAGATTTGTTGTGGGTCATTTTGTTTTACTTTTAAAATTTTACTTCATCATATTTCCTTATATCTTTCACATACCATATTCATAAATGATTGTGAATTATACATAGGAAGGCTATTGTAATCCTAGCACTTTAGGAGGCCAAAGTTTGGGATCGCTGAAGTTCAGGATTCGAAACCAGCCTTAGCAAGGACGAGACCTTGTCTCTACTAAAAATATAAAAGATTAATGGGTCAAGTAAAAATATATAGAAAAAAATTCAGCCAGCATGGTGGCACATGCCTGTAGTCTCTCTCAGGTACTCAGGAGGCTGAGGCAGGAGGATCCCTTCGGTCCAGGACTTGGAGGTTGCAGTGAGCTAGGCTGATGTCAAAGCATTCTAGCCTGGGCAAAACAGTGAGACTGGATCTCAAAAAAAAAAAAAAAAAGCCAGGAAGGTTATGAAATGTGAAGGTTAAACATAATAGTCATCGTATTTTCCCAGTTCTGAATATCCTATATGTTATTCGCAAGTGGACATAACCCCATGTACTAGGTAAAATGCAGATGACCCCCAGCAGCTGCCCCGTTCCAGCACACAGAGGGAACGCAGGACGCAGCCAGCAATCCGTGTGGACCCATCACCTGTCACTCAGGGCACTAAGGGGTGGGGTCTCGGGCCTTATCCAATGAAAAACGCTGAAGGGAGAACTGTCCAGTGGGAGCGGGGTCCAGGATCTGGCGGGGACTTTGTGTTTTCCTTGGCTTGGCCGCGGAACTGAGCGCGGCGTCCGCTGTTCTTTCTCCTCAGCCCTGGGAAGCCCAGGTGGCCGGCACAGCCTCGTGACGGAGGTACCGGGAGGTCGGTAGGGCGGACGCCGGGACAGCGTGCAAGGGGAGAGATGGTGAGTGGGACGCGGCGGTGTCCCCGCCGCGGGAGGGGCAGGTTGGAACCGGCCGGAACCGGCCGAGGGGGACGCGGCCTGGCCGCCGCGGCTGCGGGGTCTGTGGACCGAGGTGCGCGGCGGCGCGGGTCCGGCCGCCTCTGCTTCCCCACAGGCCCCTGCGCCCTTGTTCCGTTCCTTCGCGGCCACGTCGCCCGCGGAGCCCTGGCCGGGCAGCTCTGGCCCGCAGGCCGCGTCTCCCCGTCGTGTGCGGGGCGGGACGCCGGGGTCCTCAGGGGAGACCCCACTCGGTGTGCGGTGCTCCCGCGTGTGGGGGAGCTGTGCGCCGTGGTTCTCTGTCCCTCTGTCTCCTGTTGAAAAGTAAACTGCGGCGCGCCATAACGTGGACAGCGACGCAGGAATGGGACTCCCACCGTGGTGTGTGGTTTGGGGGCCCACCGGAGGGGCTGGAAGGCAAGGCGTTTGCAAGGTGCATGGGGAATGAAGCGAATTAAGTAATTGATTGGGTGCACGCGTACTGTCCCCTTG